TCTGCTTAGATCTGAAGACTGAATGAGGCCAACATGGCTGTAAATTCCTTAACTGTGCACGCGAGTACACCAAAGAGTCAGTCAGTGACCCACTGATTTTCCAATTCATTGAATTTCCGGGATTAAAAAAAAAAAAAAATCTAAAATTGATAGATATAATTATCATTGATTATTATGACATCTTTAAGATGCTAATGATAACATAGTAAAGAGAATGTTTCCGAAAAGCAGTACTATTGATAATGAGATGGTGAATGGAAAAACACTCAACCGTGTTGATATTATGGTAGGAAAACCCACAATACACAAACTAGATTTTTTGAAGAAAGTGAGACAACAGTTTCGGAATCGTCCTCGATTCCATCTTCCGAAGACGATTCCGAAACTGCTGTCTCACTTCCTTCAATAAATCTAGTTTGTGCATTGTGGGTGTTAATACCATAATGAGATAGTCTGCTGTTCCTGATGTCTGAAAAGTGTATAACTAACATCTTAAGATATAGCATACCTCAGAATGAGAGATCATGGCAATTTGTACCAACCCGACCAGGTAGAATGGCTTATCTTTAGCGTGTATATAAAATGCGTGTTTTCGTTACTTTTCTATGAACTCTAGCACTAATCTTCCCTCTGTCCTCAGTTACTTGCCTGAGCCAAGTGGAGGAACCAATGAAAACTGTTCGATTCTCTACAAGGCGGACTTCCATTACGTGCATGACATTAATTGCGACACAGCTGCTGCTCCACTTTGTATGAAACACAACTGAAGGCATCTATAAGGGAGGTGCCAGTATCCAAATCAAAATCTGTGGTAACAGATAACAAAATATAATTTTCCCCTGGTTGTTTGCAATATTCAGTGTAATAAAAATAACTCTGGAAGCTTAAACGAGTCTCGAATTTTTGTTGCACTCCTGACACTGATACTGACTATTAATTTAAAAGAATCAGTAAGTAGAAACATTTTTCGTTTCCTGAATGGTTAGCTGTGACTCCATTTGGATAACGTCACTAGGCTCAACCCCATTTTGACAGCATTAACTTGTGGTGCGGAAAGTGGTCTGTTTAAGTGTGTTGACATTTTACATAATTTTACGGTAATGGTGTCTTGTGCCTCAGGTTTTTTTCAGTACATTATAATGATTTAGGTGATAAATCATACCTTACAATCCGTTCCCTCAGAGCTCAGTGATTCCACGGATTGCAAGCACAAATGTTCATCAAATTTATTCAACTCACGTAGTTTATGTTGTAGACTTAAAGCTAGTTACGTTATTGGAATGAAATCTGACAACACCGAATTGAGGAACTTTACAAAACATGCTACTGTGTATGAGTGCATGCAGTAGCACTGTGAAAGTGGTGCGTGGCTAAGGCTGGCACCTGACAAATTATGATTAATCTATTGCTTGCCACTACACATATATGGATTCTATCCTTTCAGCACAACGGGGGGACCTGCAAGTAATATATTATCTTTTACTGAGGTCTTTGTTGTTTAGCACAACTGAGGGACTCTCAAGATATAAATTCTCTTTTACTGAGGTCTTTGTTGTTTTGCATAACTGAGGGACCCTCAGGTTATAAATTCTCTTTTACTGAGGTCTTTGTTCTGTTTGACTTTATTAAAGAAATTATTGGATTCCCTGAAATTATGGTTTTATTAGGTTTTGAGGGTAGATTAGTCATTAGATTTTGATATCAACTATACAGACTCTTTATGAATTGCTTTTGCCTTAGAGTTGGATGAATAATTGCATTGATTATTTTTTTTTGGAATCCCTTATAAGTTTCACCAAGTTATATTTATATATATGTATCGTATCAGAATTTCTTATTAACCAATGTAGATATAAATATTTTTTCTCTAGATTTACCGTGTTGTTAATATGACGGAAAAAAAATCAAAATCGTTAGTACACAATTTTTCAAAATTTCTATCCCATATGACTTTGAAACAATTAATGTTATTTATCTCCGATATTTTCTTTAAATTGGTAGATTTAAAGAAACTCCCAGTAAAACCCTATTTTGACTTATCTAAATTTAATTTGTGTAGCGACTTAACGGTCTTAAGGCTCATGATGTGAATTATTATCCAATAACGTTTAAATCTAAGAAAAAATAATTATACACAAGTGGCATATCACAAGGTAAATAAATATGCAATATTCTCTCCTACTAACTTAATTAAATTTTAGCTAAACTCTACATTACAACTTCCCTTTGCCTACTAATTATAAATTAGTAACCATTACTATAAAAATAAAAACAAATATGAAAATAAATCGAGACAGTCAACTCTATTCCACTGGTATCTCTCCATCATTTATTTGTACATAAAGTAATCGATCCCTTCCTTCAACAGTTTCCTATCTCACATTCTACTCTGGTCAGCTGTTCCCTTTGCAATTCATACCTTATACAATTGGAATTATCACCGACGAATTCCCGGAAAAAAAATCATAAATGTTTCCTAACAAGAAAGCTGCTGCCATGG